GTGTGTGTGTGTGTGTGGGTGGAATGTTGCAGGCAAGAGGCACCGACATGTTACTGCATGCTGCAATGCTGACGTGTTGTTCAATCTGTTTCATCAGCTCTCTCGAAAATGCGCAGGAGGGCGCAAGATCATTACGAATGCCTGGAAGTGCCATACCTGGTGCATATGTCCATCTGTCAGAGGAGCAAACACCCGTCGTCGACGGTCATCCTTTGCAACCGAGACTACCTAGCATTCATAACACTGGAGCTCGAAGCTCCTAGCCCAAATTTTGAACCGAATCCACTGCCCCAGCACTGTCCAGCAGAGTTCCAAGTTGCATCATCCTCCATGCAGCGCTGGTTGCTCTCACTCTCTGGCTTGGACTTGTCCTAGCAGGCGGCGATTTTCTTTCGCAGGCAAGCAACTGCCACCAAGCAATCTCCTGCAAACCGGTCACAGTCAAGACCTGGGACTCGTACACGAGCGGGAAGAACGTTGATGACAACCTGGGTTGCGTATTCACTAACTAGATTGCATCTGACTGGGGCTTCGAATCTGCACGAGACCTGCTTTGCCCTGACTGGCGCCGCTGGTACGGTGATTGCTCTCTGTGCCCGAGGCGTCTATCCAAGAGAGGGCTACGGCTTTCTGCACAATGCCCGTTGCTTTGCCGAGTGCTTGCTGCCCCGTTTCAGCGGGGATCCAGGCGAGCATGTTGAGTCTCGACGGACATATTACGCAGACTTGGTCAAACAGCACGCGCCCCGACCAGCTAACTACGAGCAGCAGGACAGCATCCTCGGAGCATAAGAGCTCATCACAAGTATGCGGGTGACGCTCGCAAGCTTTATCGGAACGCCCCGAGCACGTGCCCACACCACGGGCAAAGCTTGGCTCCCAGGCAGGTTGTAGACAATCCACGGCACAAACCTCGGCGTTTCAAGGCGTTGAGAAGCGAAGGGTCTGTCACGAGGCCCATGATGCTACCTACCTTCACCTAGCTCCTGCAATGATAACTTATGAGCTGTACTGTCAGACCCCTCCATCGGGAAGGATGCGAGGGAAGTCTCGCTTGACCCAGCATCATCGCAACAGCTGTTCTCTAACTTTGACTGCTCTTGCTGGCAGCCTGCGATTGAGCTTGCCATAAAGTCTTGACTAGAGTGACTAGACAGATGCAAAGAGCATGATCCCACAGCGCACAGCACCGGATCAAGGCAAGGAGACACACGGCCCTGGAAGCGTGATCGTTGGGAGTCAAAGCGGCTGCCAGTTTCCACCGAAGGCCCACGATGGGGGGTTGGGAGCCCGCTGTGCCGTCGCCATCTGCCTGTAGACACGCTTCCTCAGCCAAATGAGAACATCCCGACAAGGCCACAAGGCCAAATGCCCCTGCATGCGGCTGCGCCCTTTAGTTGGCGTCACGTGCAGCTCTGTCAAAGGCGGGCTCGGGCGAGCGATAGTGGTTCCTGTGGCCTGCACGGCATGCCTCTGTGCAGCGTGCTTCAAAAGGACGGATGCACTTGGACCGGGTAGCATACGTGTCTGCACAGAGCATGCATGCTGTGTGAAGGCATGTGGGGTGGGGAGCCTGCTTCGCGAAGCTCTTGACCTTTATAATGCACGACCCTGAACCCGTCTAGTTGCGTCGTTCATCTGCTCACCAGGCTCAGATAAGCTGCCTACACTGCGCACGGACGAGTGTCAAGTCTTCGCCTGTGCCGAGGAAGACATCCACACGGCCGAAGGTTCGCAGCGAAATGTACAGGATGAGCGCAATTCCTCAGCATGCCAACACATTCGTGTCTGCATCTTGCCCATCTGCAAAATGCACGTAAACAGGTGCCTGTACATCCGTAGACCACAGTGGGAGCGACCACTTCGGCGATGTTGCCTTCAGAAACAGTAGATCTCAAGCAAAGTTGAAATGAGATCACTCGTGCGCCGGCTTACTTGCAAGCTTCCCAAAGCTCCGAACTCTGCATCTCTCAATACCGCGAGCCTGGAAGGAGGCTCAAGATAAACCGGCAGATGATGAAAAGCATAACCTTGGTGACTGCACAGCAACCAGACCTCCCTGCTGAGCTGCCAATGGAGCGTCCTCAAAATCCGCCCACCGCCGCTTTCCCAGCCGGGTCTTCCTCCCTTGTTACCCACGGAGTACATACAAACTACTCGCCTGTGCCCTCACCCCAGAGCTGTGTGTCGTCTCGGTCAACAGATGTTCTGAAACACATTTGCTACCCGCAGTGCCATATCATATACCCAGCGTGATTAAATATATTTACACAAGAAATGCTGCATCGCGAGCATGCACCTGCCGGTCTCTCTGTTTGCACCCAATCCTTGAAAGTCTAGACAGGCAGATGCATCTGCTGTGATTCCCAAGAGCTGCCGAGCTTGTGCTTCTTCATGTGGCACCCTGCACGCTAGTCTCGTCAATTCGAGGAGCAAGCGCTGATGTGCCTGCGCGGCGATGACGCTCTGACATACAAAACCGACGGCGATGTGCTGCTCAGATTGGTGATTGCAGCCAGGCCGCCCGACACTGCGCGGCCCACATCGTTGTTGAACATCCAAGATACCAGGGCTCCAAGCGATTTGGAGGGAGCCATCTCGATGTTGTTGCTTTCCAGCTTGGCGTCACGTTCTTACGCTTAGTCTGGCATTGCCCTAACCACGGAACCCAACTAGGTTGTGTCCTGTTCAAGTCAGCCGCCTTGTCCCTAGTATATGTTCGTGTCCCTTGGTTGTTGCGTCACTGGGAAAGCAAGCCTTTGTTTACCATACGTTTGGCTCCCGAGGCTTCTGAATTTAGAGTTTACTGGATGCTTCTTAACTCAGGGTTCACTATGGTCTTTCCAAGCTTCATGGAAATTGTTGGAAATGTTGATAAAGCCAACATTTTCCATGATTTGTCTGTGGGGAATGATGGATAATGTTGGTTTTTCCAACATTTCCAAAAATTTCCATGATTCCGGAAACTATTGCTCCGCTCCGAGGGTCTCTCCAAATTCATGGAAATGAGGAAACGTTGGCAAAACCGACATTTCCCATGATTTGTCTAGTGGGAATCATGGAAAATGTTGGTTTTACCAACATTTCCAACAATTTCCATGATTGCTGAAACTATGGCTCCGGCTCCCGAGGTTTGTCCAAATTCATGGATATGGTTGGAAAAGGTCGGATTCGTCAACATTGTCCACCAAAACGGTGTTACCGAAATTTGTGATTGAGCACATCTCATGTACTCATGCGATGTGTGTGTGTGTGAGAGCAAACATGGGCCGGTAAGGTATTCGCATCCTTGGTTAAGCTCAGTAGTTTGCCCAACACGAAACTAGGTAATCATCTCTGCTTGAAGACGTCACTGTGCGAACAACAGTTCATTGATTTTTCTGCTTATCACACCCCGAACTATACTTCATGTCTACAGTTCAAAACTTTACTATAGGAAAAGCTGCTTCTGCACGAACATGCTTATGCTGGTGTAATCACACTCTTCCGAAGACAAACGTATATGGTATTTACTTGTGTCATATGTTGCTTGGTGTTTGCATGGGGGGCTTTAGTCGTTGTGTTTATTTATTTTTAGTGAGGCTTGATGTGCTTACAATAAAGAGCCCTTACTCAAAAGACAATGATTCGCACCAAAATTCTGACATACATCATTGTCGCATGGTCGTCATATGGTAGGTGCAACAGATCGAAATTAAAGTTGAAGTGACTACATCAGACTAAACTGGACCTGAAAATAAACTAGCAAAGTCGACTAGTAAACAACGGAACATAGAACCTACGGTGTAATACACAGCCACGGCATGTTGTATTGTGTTTGACTTGGAACACCAAAAGTCCACTCTCAACAAGTTAGAAACAAGCAAATGCGTTACTTGATTGACCATCATCCTACCAAGTGTGAATATTCAAGAAGTGCTGAATGGCAGGTGTATAAATAAAATGTACAAACACAGGACTCAGCCAGTAGTACATTCATACTATACATAATGCTTGGTCATTATTCAACAAGGTTTTTGAACAATATACGAAGTACTCTGAATGAACAACAACAACAGTAGTTGACACAGTGAATCTTGACTCCGACATGATAAGAAACCGGGATGTACATAACTTAACTATCCACCTTGATGCGAAATCTGCGTGGGGCCACGGGGATGCTGCAGTAAGATCCCATGCCGTGCAAAGCTGCCTGCTTCGCCATACCCCCACTCACTCACTACTGTATGTAGGCTCCTTGCGACCACCGGCATCGTTGACAACACATTTTTCCTATGCCACTCCTTGCATCTATCTGCGTGCGCATGCACTCGCAGCCTTTTCTGTCCGATTTCTTTTGTGCTTGCTCATGATGCTCAAGCAAACATATAGGTTGCTTTCGGCACAGACTCTTGGCACAACATCCATGATTCATGGCTGCCTCATGTTTGCGAAGTGCCCCACCTCGCGATCCACTTAAGCAAAGCATCAGAATAAAGACGAAAACCTGGGTGCCGGAAGGGGGTAGCATATATGTGTGTGTGTGTATATATATATATACACACCTATATATATATATGCGAATATGCACATGTATATATATATGCATACATGTGTGTGTGTGT